AACAACGGCAGAGCAAACCTGAGTACATGGTTAACCTGGAAAAAACGCCCCGTGCAACAGCTGACGCGGCTGGCTGTTGTGCTTGCCCTCCATCAAGTTGTTGACGTACGTACGTGTAGCGAACACGCATCATGTTGAGCCGATGATAGTATTTCGTTTCCCTTTTTTTCACGTTTTTCGCAACATACGCCTCGTCGTCGACAGGTTTGTTCGTTCAGGTCTCATCCTTCCCGAACGAACGTACCAATAAAACTACCAAAGGCCAAGTTTTATCTCCACACACCACCGCGTCAACGAACATCCACGTACCGCCGTGATCTAGGCGATGGTGGCGGCAATAGAAACAGCAACAGCACCACACACACGTCACGCGCAGGCACCGAGAACCTGCGATACACGTCCAAACAACGAGATACAAGCTCTTCTTCAACGCCAAAAACTACTACAGCAGTGTACAGCACCACCCCAACAACGTACGTACGTACTTACGACAATATTTACGACACCCGGCGAGCGTGGATGGATTCTATGTCTCCGAGCTGAGTTACGTATAACCTAGCAACTGCAGTGGTAGCAGCCGCGACACAGAAGAACAAGATTCCAACGCTGGCTCTTTCACTAAAAAACGGAACGAACAAAAATGATGTGGGAAGATAAAAAGGAAGATAAAAAAAATGTTCGCGTATCAATGATATTCACGACCGAGAACGGTCGCCGAATTCCCCCCGAGATAATTGACAAAATGCTTACCGATCCGGCCCCCGAACAAACACAAAGTTTGTTCCACGCTAAACAAACCATGCGTTTCCTGTATGTCTTGTTCGTTGATTGTCCAAACAGAGAGGCTACATACACGCACGCCTACCCCACCCACCGACGCCACTATAACAGCAAGTCCTGTGCCACCACTTTCCCATTTCCGGTACAGAAGGTACACGGTGCGGGATGGTAGTGCGTGGGACAAAATACACCGAAGCCCCCTCCCCCGGAATGACCTACTTACGTAGCCACACCGCCTCTTCCCCGCCCACCAAACGATATAGGCCACACTCTTCTTACGTCCTCTTCGAAACTACTATCACCCTCTATGTACATTTTGTACAATCATGCGCGTCGTGTGCGCGAGTCCATGTAAAATTCGACGAGACAATTCACCACTTTGTCAGGACTGACCCTCTTCTTGGATCCCCCTTTCCGGAGCCGCATCTATCTCCCTCCCGCTACCTCCTTCCCTCCCTCCCTTCTGCCCCCCGCCCCCCCCCCC